CTTGGTTCATCATGTGTTGGCGTTAACGTTCGTTTATTAGTTATTATTTTTCGTTCTTCTTGATAAATTTCATAAGTAATTTTTTCTTGATCCAGATATTCCTGGAGTGTTTGGGTATCATTGATTTTAAAAACATAAGGCGCAATTTTTCTCCTTGAGCTTTCTTTAAAATACTTCTAATGGTGCTGTAATTCTTGGGTTTCATGGTGGATTTAATGTAAATTAGTTTCATATTTATATTTTTACATAGAGATAATCCTATATGAAATACATTATTGTTATTATTATAATGATAACACATGGTCAAATGTTCACTTTGTCTGGTTTTGTTGCAGCATGCCCCATATACTGTATATGAATAGCCATATTCGAAGGTTTTTTTGCCGATCATCGCCGATCACTTTCAATATTAGTGATTTTATTTTCTTTTAGAAACACCGAGACGCGAATGCTGCGTACGATCAGATCTTTCAGTTTTAATTGCAGGTGATATAGAGGGTGTGTCACATAAGGATATTATGACACAGATATCAGGAAAGACCTCGATCCCGATCGTTTATGTTATGAAACGTCTGAAAAATAAGTAGGTTTAGCCGGTCATTTCTATATATACAGATTAGGATGTCATTTGGCTGAATCATGTTTCAATATGCAGTTTCGGGCATATCCATTTTCACACCGGAGATGACGTCGAGTTATTCTGTGCAACCGTGAATGAAAAATATGCAGTATTTCCCAATGGACATGGTCGGCGCAACATTAAGTGTTCACGAGCAACTGGTAGACCGGTGTGTATTTTTATTGCAATATGCTATACTTATTACTATGACTGACATATTTTTCTAATTTATTTACTTTTAGAAAAACCCACAACCACCCAGGGCTCGTCATGCGTGACAGCGAAGAAAAAGAATTAATTCTACTGAGGCTGTAACTGAACCCAAGGCCATTACCAAGCAAAAGGTGCCAGCATTATTATTAAGGTTTTTGCTATTTGCAATATTATCGGGCAATGATCGGCGATGATCGGCGAAAAAACCCTCATATACGGACTTTCATATGTATTACTATGGATATCATACCCCCCAGTACATGTTGTGCACTAAACGTCAATTATAATGAAATACTCTTTCTTTCGGAAATGAAAAAAAGTGATCAAACAGAACTTATTACTACGAATGATCTGGTTTCGTATTTCTAAACGCTTGACACGGTGCAAAAAGCATTCAAATCGGTGATGTTTATTACAGAGCGAAGGCGAGTAAGCGCAACTACTTTTGGATGAAAAAAGATACGATCTTGCGTATTAACCGTTGTCACAACGAAGAAGAATTAGATTACAAGTGTTAATATTGTAGAACGTCTGCTGTTCACTTTCAATTGAGAAATGGTTAACAGGAGAAATATTCTGACAATGCGCAAAGGATTAAATTACAATTTTTAACAGTGACCGAAAGGCGATAATTTGTACGTCACGTGGTTATTTATTTTTGTGATATTAAAATCACTGCGTTGTTACATCTTGTTTATAATTAATAATGTAGAAGTGTCGAACAAAACGTTCCAATTGACAAAATGGAATTCGCAACAGAAATGAATACATGATAAAAATAATATGGTTACGATTTACATGCAAGACTGTCAATCTTTTCACTGTCACAGCTATGGTGTTTGCGTGCAGGTCAGTCATGTGAAAGACTGACGATAGTAGGTAATACGATTAAAATTACAGGGATAGCCCAACATTGCATTCAACTGTTAGTTAAAATCTGAGTTTTTGTAGTATTTAATCGATTCTATAGCCAATGCTATATTCTTTAACCGAATCTTCCAGGAAAAATGCGTTATCTAACTTTTGGTACGGGAGAGACTGATAGTCTATAAATTCCATGTTCGTGTGTAAGACATTTCGATTACTAAATTTGACTAATATTAATAGCACGTTGAAATATTATACGGCTAAGTAATCGCATAGTCTCCAAAATTTTCAGATTATGCTCAAGATCAATTAGCAATCATTTGTTTTTGGCCTTTAATTTTTCTGTTTAATTTGACGTCTAATATAATTATTGAATTTTTATTTACGTCACTTGTATTTTAAGCTCCCAAACACTAGTACTGACATTAATAATTACAGAGACAAAATTATACTAAAAGAACAATTGATTCAATCGGAAATCGAAGAGTATATATTCAAAAAGGTGGATGGCATTAATTTTCTTGTCAAAACGGTTTATTTGTTCATTCGCTTTTGATGAATGAGTCTAATAAATAATAGATATTATATCCTATCCAATACTAATTATTGCCTGACTACATTGACGTGATAATAAATTAATTATTCGTTTATACTTTTGATAAACAAAATATCGGCGTGTTTTTTAGTACCATGTTGTGCTTTTTTATCTGTCAGGCAATTAACACCGCTTCAAGCGATTATTATCAGCATATTTACCGTGAGCTGTATCTTTTACTTGTCTTTTGTCCAGTCTGGCTTTTCTATTTGTTGAAATATTTTCTTTGTACTGTGATCTAGCCGAGCAGAAGATTCACATGCTATACAACTATTCAAGCCTTCCTTAAAAGCGTTACAACTCTTCTTATGCCTATCGTTACCAACATTTTGTCAACGAAAAACGATGTATTAGTATAGCAAATTTCAGTGACATGCATCATAAAAAAATTTTTAATCATAGGATCGTGACATATAATAAACTTTCCAATGTTCCATACAAAAACTCGTAGTAACAAAGTTTTCAAGTATGACTTATCTACAAAAAGACTTGAAGCAAAAGGAGACAAATTAGCCTTTATAAAATTTGGCTGTAAGAACAGTTCTAACAAGAGCTCAAGAGACTGAACTTTGTAAATAAAAAATTATTGGGCAAATTTACCGTCTCAAAATTTATCTAGAGCTTGCATACGACATTTAACTATTTCAAGACAACGTTGAAAAAAGTATCCAAGCGAGCTTTTCAGATTATAGAAGTCAACCTACACATATACACGTCTTACAGACGCGTTAAAAAAATGTGTGTATTGCAACTCTTCTAGCATAAAAAGCTTAATGTATCCGATACTACAGTCAACTCTTTTTATAACGACCGCTGTGCTCTGCCCGTTTTCAAAAATTTATTATATGTACTACGCTGTATATAACGGCCGCTGCATATAACGACCTGATTTTGCCCAGCCCGAGGCGGTCGTTATAAAGAGAGTTGACTGTATACTAATACAGTACCTGGACAAAAGTGAGTGGTCACTACGAAATTTCGCCGATCAACCGTTAATAGTTGCTCATATGTAAAGTAAAAATTTTACTAATACAACTAATCTTAATGTAATAAGTAAACTTGTTCACAATATTAATCTTTGTAATTTTCATAAGTGTTTTGCATGAATTCTGAGTGAGATATTCTTGCTTACGTTGAGGACAAAGATTTTAAAAATTTATCGTAAAAGTTTATTATAATGCAACTTAAAAAAATCATTAATAACAATTTTTTATATTCTTAAGTAAAAAGATTCCTCACATTTTAAAATATTTAAATGCAAAATTTGGTTGAGATTTTATTGAATAGTTAATTAAGTTATAAGGCAATATTAATATACATTCAAAATCTATTGTAAAAACAAGGTAACACAAGTTTCAGTATAAGATATCTAGTATCTAGTGCATCTCATCTGGTTGCTTATATACAAACTTTTGTTTTTCATGTATTAGTAAACAAACATGTATTAATTAAAGTTATTAGCAATAAAAAGACGCATCTAATTGTTACGTGTATCTGGATTTTGGCAAACTAAAACATCAAACTACATAAATTTAAATTTTAAAAACTTATATATTTTAAGTTATTATTCAATAAAATCTCAACCAAAATTTTGGAAATTTTGTATTTAAATATTTTAAAATGTGAGAAATATTTTTATTTAACAATACAAAAAATGGTTATTAATGACTTTTTTAAGTTGCATTATAATAAACTTTTACGATAAATTTTTTAAAATTTTTGTCCTCAGAATATCTCACTCAGAATTTATGCAAAACACTTATGAAAATTACAAAACTTATGAAGATTAATATTGTGAACAAGTTTACTTATTACATTAAGACCAGTTGTATTAGTAAAAGGTTTACTTTACATATGAGCAACTATTAGCGGTTGATCGGCGAAATTTCGGTCCCGTTAACAATGTCTTTCGACGATCTTCCACACTTTTGTACAAAAATCAGTACAGAACAGCATATATATGTACGAAATGTATACAATTGCGTCAGACCCCCGGTTTCTACTGCGACTTGAACCTTCGACGCGTAATGATGATAAACTATTTTGCGCACATGAAATCTTTTTATTTTTTAATAAAACCAATACAATTGCACACAAATAATTTAAATGTCCTCCGTTTTCATTTTTTGGTTGCAAATACAGTATTAATCAACGGGAGAACGACTTTTGTTGCTTATCGCTATTATCTTCTTGTATCATACATTTATTATGTTATACATGGGTCCAGTCGCTCAGAAGGAGAATGCTGTTTGATAGTGTCTTGTAAAACAAACCCCATTTCTAATCCAAATTCAGTATTAGTATCTCACCAAACAAATTTTAAAGTTCGGTTATTGATTCCGGCAGTTGTCTCTCAATATATTAATATGAACAACTATCCACGAGTTTCAATTAATGATGTGCAGAGGCTATAAATTAGTAATGAACGGAGATTGTGGTAAAGAATGGAAAATATAAGGGCCATAACGTTATTGAGTGTCAGCAAATTTATACCATTTCTCAAACGTACATAATGGCGAATACTTCACGTAATACTGAACTAAGAAAAATAAAAAAAAAAAGATATGGTTTGGCGGAACAGGAAAAATACATAAATTTCGTGCATACGCCTACTATACGAAGACGTCTGTTTCAAATATCATTCGATAAGCATCATCGAGCCGTCTCATCGTGAGCGGTTACAATCCAATATTATCGTTAAAAAATTCCCCACCTACTGGTAGAAGGACCCGGTCTCAGTTGAACTTTCGCTTTGTTGAAGATCTGCCTCTTCTTTTTATCCGAAATATTCACTCCGACTAGTGGGAACGAACATATCTCAACAACTGGCTTGTCACCTTCTCCGTCATCATCTTGAGCACATTCCATTGTAGCGGAATCAAACTTGTCCCCACTCTCGTAAAATTTATACTCGACAACCGGGACTTGAGTCCGGAACCTGAAATAAAATATACGGATAATCTCAAGAACGACAGACTGAGCCAAATCTTCGATATCTTTCATTTTTGATTCATCCTTAATCTGACGACATTTGTCGAGATCGTTCAATACAGAATTAACTATGCTCACTAAAAATGTATGATCGTTGACCGCAAAACCACGGTTGCCAAGTACAGCATATACTTGTTGACATATCTTCACTCCCGCCATACGCGTCAATTCATCCTCTCCTTTGCGCGTTTCAGCAAACTCTTTTATATAACTCTCCAAACTCAATGTCGAATTCAAGATAAGTGCTTCCAAGAAATAGTTTAGATCAGCCTTAGTGTATAATTCAAGATCATTGTTACTTTTCCCATTCAAATCCTCGATACTTTTGTTGAAATAATTTTTTATATATCTCAACACTTTCTCAATAATATACCTTTGTAGTGCAGCGCTGACGATTAACTTCGTTGGCTCTAGTCGACAGTCATATTTCTGCAATAGCATACTGGCTGCTTGTTGATCGATATCTTTTAATCGAATAAACTCTTCAAGACTATTTTGCAAGTTAACAATGTCCTTTCCGAGCTGGATAGAATAAATTTTACCAATATCACCCCAACTGACATTAGTAGTATCGCCAAGGGCAGCTTGATGACCGGTAGCTTCCTCCTCGAGCATGTTATTCCTCCGCTGCAATTCGGAAGCTCGAGCCTCAGCTTCTTTAACTCTTTGCGCCATTTGTTGAAAAAACCCACGTTCTGCTGCTCGTTCTGCCTTTTCATGCTGATATGCATTATGGTAAGAGTTAGCGTTGACACGCGCCTCGCGGAGCTGTTTCTCTAACTCACCTTTCTCCATTTCGAGTTCAGTCAAAGGGTTACTGCGACAAGGTCCAGCTGAAAGTTCTTTAGTAGGACGGCCATAAGTATCTTGATATTTGACGGCTTCTTCCTTTAGTAGATCATATTTTTTCTGCAATTCTGCTGCTCTAGCCTCGGTATCTTTATGGTGTTCAAGTTGTCTGTTCAATTCAAGAATCTGTTGAGCATATCTCTCTTCTGTTGCTTTATGCTGTAGTATTTTCTGATGTAACTCTATGACCTCTTTTTTGTCTCCACGAAGCTCTATCATCTCTTTTTTTGGATTCGTTCGGTTGACCTCGTTGAGATTCTCTCTAGCTTCGTTGAGACTCTTTTTTGTTTCCTCGAGACTTTTTCTAGTTTCATTGAGATAAAGCTTGTGTGTACTGCTTTGATTCTCCGCACTGTTCCATTTGTCAGTCAATTCCACACATCGTTCTCGCTGAACAGTCAGCTGGATTTCTAAATATTTAGAATAATCCTCCTGAGTTTGAAAAAAGCTCCTTAGCATGTCTTCAAGAGCGCCAACTCGACCTGCAAACGTGCTGTAGTCTTTCACATACTTAGTCAACTCCAGCTGTTTCATAATGTTTGCAGAGGCATCACTGAGGAATAGTTTGGTTTTACTGGGATCAGTTACTTGGTCCACTATACTGTCTGTCATTTTCTACATTGATGGGTAGTCGTTGTTATTATTGTTATATTAGTTAACACTAAGCATAAGGTGTTTGCGAAAATAGGTACTTTCATTATATGTTGTGGCCAGACGATAATGGAGTTTGTCTTACAAAAAGAATTTAACTGAACAACTATTCGCGTACGTTTATGTTACTATTTACTGCGTAGTGAACGAAATTGTGACAAAGAATGAAACGTACTTGTCATAAAGTTGTAGAAAACATCGACAAATTTATGCTATTTGCCGAACTCTAAAAGAAAATTAGTTTAAACTGAGTAGCTCATATATGACGGAACTAGAAAAACGCGGGGTTCGACAAATGGCAACAACGTGATAGCTTGATCGAATTATTCAAAATTCGTACATACTGTTGTATAAAAATTACCGTTACAGACCATGAGTGGTTATATAAATACCCGGTTCGTTAAAAAAACCTCTAACCACTAAAACCAGGTCTCAGTTGGACTTTCGCTTTGTGGAAGATCTGCTTCTTCTGCTCGTCGCTAATATTCACTCCGACCAGTGGAAACGAACATATCTCAACAACTTGTTCTTTGTTATGATCGTCTTGAACACATTCCATTGTAGCGGAATCGAACTTGGTCCCATTCTCAAAAAATTGATACTCAACAACAGGGACTTGAGTCTGGAACCTGAAATAAAATAGATGAATAATCTCAAGGACGATAGAAGTAGCTAAATCTTCGATATCTTTCTTTTTCGATTCATCAAATTCTTTCAGTATATACCCGACTATGTTTCGTAAGAATGGATGATCGGCGGCGCAAAAACCACGATTGCCAAGCACATCATATACTTGTTGACGTATCCTCACTCCCACAATACGCGACTCCCACCAAACTGATTTATATACCGCTCTAAATTTGATGTTGTATTCAAGATGAGTTCTTCCAAAAAATAGTTTATATTGGTCCCAGGGTATTGTTCAATCTCGTTATCACTTTTCTTATTCAAATCCGCGATACAAATGTTGAAATACGATTGAGTATATTTCAATACTACCTCGATAATAAATCTTTGCCTACCTTTTAATCGAGTAAACTCTTCAAGACTATTTTGCAATTTAACAATGTCCTTTCCGAGCTGGACAGTATAATTCTTACCATTATCACCCCAACTGACATGGGTAATATCGCCAAGAGCAGCTTCATAACTAGCAGCTTGCTCCTTGAGCAGGTTATTCCTCCTCTGCAATTCAGCTTCTCTAGCCTCATTATCTTTAATTCTTTGCGTCATTTGTTGAAATTCACGACGAAAAGACTCTTCCAAGCGTCCACGTTCTGCTGCGCGTTCTGCTTTTTCATGCTGATATGCATTATGGTAAGAGTTAGCGTTGACACGCGCTTCGCGAAGTTGTTCATGTAACTCAGCTTTCTCCATCTCAAGTTCAGTCAAAGGGTTACTGCGACAAGGTCCAGCTGAAAGTTCTTTAATAGAATATTTGATGGCTTCTTCCTTTAGTAGATCATATTTCTTCTGCAATTCTGCTGCTCTAGCCTCGGCGCCTTTATGTTTCTGTTGCATTTCTTGGAACTCATGATTAGTTCGCACTTTATAATTTTCATGTTCGCGCTGGCTGTGTTCAAGTAGTCTCTTCAATTCAAGAATCTGTTGAGCATATCTCTCTTCTGTTGCTTTATGCTGTAGTATTTTCTGACGTAACTCTATGACCTCTTTTTTGTCTCCACGAAGCTCTATCATCTCTTTTTTTGGATTCGTTCGGTTGACTTCGTTGAGATTCTCTCTAGCTTCGTTGAGACTCTTTTTTGTTTCCTCGAGATTCTTTCTAGTTTCATTGAGATAAATCTTGTGTGTTCTGCTTTGATTCTCCGCATTGTTCCATTTGTCAGTCAATTCCACACATCGTTCTCGTTGAACAGTCAGCTGGATTTCTAAATATTTAGAATAATCCTCTTGAGTTTGAAAAAAGCTCCTTAGCATGTCTTCAAGAGCGCCAACTCGATCTGCAAACGTGCTGGAGTCTTTCACATACTTAGTCAACTCCAGCTGTTTCATAATGTTTGCAGAGGCATCACTGAGGAATAGTTTGGTTTTACTGGGATCAGTTACTTGGTCCACTATACTGTCTGTCATTTTCTACATTATTTGTGAATCGATGTCCGTTTCTTGGGTAGTCGCTGTTATTATTATTATTGTAATAGTTAGAATGAGAAAATTGTTTAAACGCTAAGCATAATGTGTTGCGAGAATAAATACTTTGGAATTAAAGCACAACTCATTCTTTCATTCATTATCAAATTTCCGAGTATAGTATTAGTATATTAATATGTATATGTTGTGGTCGCGCGATGATTCATAATCTAACGGTCACCTGTCCAATGAACAGACGATAATGGAGTTTGTCTTACGAAAAAGAATTTAACTGAACAACTATTCGCGTATGTTTATGCTACTATTTACTACGTAGTGAACGAAACTGTGACGAAGAATGAAACATACTTGTCATAGAGTTGTTTCAAATTTATGCTATTTGCCTAATTTAAAGTGAGTAGCTCATATATGACTGAATTAGAAAAACGTGGTTCGGCAAATGGCAACAACGCGATAGCTTGATCGAATTATTCAAAATTCTTGCCTAATCTTTTAAAAATCGCCGTTACAGACCATGAGTGGATTATATAAATACCAGGTTCGTTAAAAAAGCCTCTAACCACTAAAACCAGGTCTCAGTTGGACTTTCGCTTTGTTGAAGATCCGCCTCTCCTGCTCATCGCTTATATTTACTCCGATCAGCGGGAATGAACATATATCAACGACCAGTTTTTCAACCTCTCCATCATCGTCTTGAGAACATTCCATTATAGTGGGATCGAACTTGGCCCCACTTTCAAAGAAGTGATACTCAACAACAGGGACTTGAGTCTGGAATTTAAAATAAAATATACGAACCATCTCACGGATGACAGAAGGTGCTAATTCTTCGATATCTTTCTTTTTCGATTCATCCTTAATCTGACGACACTTTTCGAGCTCATTCAATACATGCTTGACCGCGTCTACTAAAAAGGTATGATCGTTGGGCGCAAAACCACGATTGCCAAGTATAGCATATACTTGTTGACATATCTTCACTCCTGTCGTACGCGTCAATTCATCTTCTCCTTTCCGCCTCTCAGCAAACTCTTTTATATAAAGCTTCAAACTGGATGCTGTATTCAGGATAATTCCTTCCAGGAAATAGTTTGAATCAGCTTCAATGTTTTGTTCAAGCTCGTTATTACTTTTCCCCTCCAAATTTTCGATGCATTTGTTGAAATATGAATTAGTGTATTTCAATACATTCTCAATAACAAATCTTTGTAATGCACCGCTGACAGTCAACTTTGTAGGGTCAAGTCGACAGTCATATCTCTGCAATAGCGCACTGGCTCCTCGTTGATCGATTACAGTTTGTCGTCCTTTTAATTGAGTAAACTCTTTTAGAGAAATTTGCAACTTATTAATGTCCTTTACTAGTTGGTCTTCGTCGCTGTCGCCCCAGCTGACATTAATGGTATCGCCAAGAGCAGCTTTGATACTGGTAACTTCATTATTTAGCAGGTTTTGCAACTCAGACGTTTTAGCCTCAAAACTTTGTTGCATATTTCGGAATTCGTGAAGGAAAGATACTTTTAAATTTTCCAATCGTGTTTCGGTCTTTACTTTTCTGGTTTTGGCAGTGGTTCGTGTTTCTTGTAGCCGTTTCTCCAACTTTACATTCTGATCACGCAAAACTTTATTTTCCATAGCCAATGGATCACAGCGACTAGGTCCGGCCACAAATTCTTTGGTTTCCTCATTCTCGCTTTGAATAGTCAAGTTAGTAGTATCGTCAAGAATTTTTCGATAATTGGTAACTTCTTCCTTGAGTAGATTATTTTTCCTCTGCAATTCAGACGCTCTAGCCTCAGCATCTTTAACTCTTTGTTGCATTTGTTGAAATTCACGACGAAACGAGTCCTCTGAGTGTCTGCGTTCTGCTTTTTCATTCTGGTATGCATTAAGGTAAACGTTACTATTACGCGCTTCGCGGAGCTGTTGCTCTAATGTTTGTTTTTGCTGGCGTAACGAAATAATTTCATTTTCGGATTCAGTTCCGTAACCAAATTTACATTTACAATTATCAATAATTAGTTGATTCCTTTCGTTAATTTGTACCTGGTGAGCAAATCTTTCGTCGAACGCTTTGATTTCACGCTGATAGTACAGTATTTCTTCTTTCTTACGCTGAAGTTCCGCCATAATCTCTTTGTTGTCTCCACGATAGTCTCTCATGTCTCCGTTTGAATGTGTTCGGCTGGCTTCACGGGGGCTTTTTTTAGTTACATTGAGCTTCATTTCTAGATCTCTGCATTGATTTGCCGCTTTGTAACATTTCTCATTCAATTTCACACATTTTTCTTTGTTATCCTTCAGCGACACTTCCAAGTATTTAATATATTCAATATGTTTTTGCCTATCCTTTTCTATATATGTACTTTTTTCTTGCATATCCTTCAGCGAGATCTCCAAATATTTAATACAATCTTCTTGGGCTTTAAAAAAGCTATTTAGTGTGTCTTCAAGTGTTTTAATACGATCTGATAGCTCAGATGCTCCTTCCGCATACCTAGTCATCTCCAACTGTTTCACGATTGTTGCAGACAACTCACAGAGTATCTGTCTGTTTCTGCGGGTACTGCTTATTTGATCCATTATTCTGCTGTTACGATTCTCAGAATGCGTGTTTAATTTACCATTCGTCAACCGTATATTATCAGTTTCGCTCATTTCGAATTATGGTTACTATTATCGTTTATTGCGTAATTTGGTATTTTTTGAGTGAGATTGATTTCTTGTATTTATTTACAGGATATTAATAATAATTATTGGTGATTAAACGAACTTAGTTCTTTAATATTAAATGCGTTTTGGGTTAGCAATTTAACCCATAGTATCCAAGCAACCTATCACTATAAAAGACTTTCTTTCGTAAATTATCTTAATAAATACTTTCTCTTGGCCACAGCTCCCACCCAGGCTTTTTATCATGAGACATAATCACTAACATTGTTAAAAAAGGCTTCATTTACGTTGTATAAATTTTACCATTTTTGTATTGTGTAAGAGAATCAATACTCGTTTTAGTGTTGAAACAAACATTTCAATGCATGCCAAGAATTCCCGATAATCTATCGTGACGCATGGTGAAGAATTATATGTTGTTAATATTTTTCTTTTTTTTGCTTTAATTGAACAAGTGAGGTAATTATATGCCTTTGGTGTGTCCTCCAAGACTTTATTTGCGGAAAATTTCTTCACTAAGATGACGAAAGAATTCATTCCCCCAATATTAAATATATTCTTGGGGTTTCAGCTTAACTCAAATATCTCGGCGTTAATGTCAAGCTGTTTCGACATATAATAAATTAAAGATTCCGCATTGCCATTTTACTACAAACAATTGTCAAACATTCTCTTTGTGTTCGTTCAGAAATGACTAAGAAACGCAGACATACGCATAGTTAATTAGCATTTATTTAATAAGCATAAATTATTACGTAATTATTGAGGAGTTACGATTTGAGTAATTTAAATTACAATTTAATATTAAGATAATAACAATAAAGTAACCTACTATACATCTAGTAAATGAGTCATTTTCACCAACAGATCTACAGTGGGACCTCCTAATACTAAGTGCAACCCCCTAAGTGTAACTCCTAAGTACACGGTTAGCACTGAGTCTTATTTATTTGTTGCACGTCCTTTATTCTGCAATTGCACGGTAGCTCTCAGCAATCCCTATTGTATTCCACCCCTCTAAATGCACGTCATGTGATTAGACTTTTATAATAAAATTTTGACATGCCCAACAGAACAACTCTTAATAATAATAAACAGAAAGTTACATACAAATACAAATTCAACCATTAGTAATGTTGGCCTTGCCAAGTGGATAAAGCAAACATATAATCTTGTTGTCCATCACAGCAGCACCCACATTAATTGTGGCGGATTAAAACGACATCGACTTTGGGAGTCTTCTTGAGTCCACCCTTAAAGCTCAGAAACCTGTATATTATCAAATAATACCCTAATTCTTCCCCCCAAAAAACTTTTAACTTTTTCATAGAAAAAAGTCGGTTTACTTTGGTGTCATTTTAATCTGTCACATTAATTATAGAACTTTCGTTAGCTGGTTGTTATACCAAAGTCGAATGTATTTCCGTTGTAACGTACTGTAAACAATAAACATACGTCTTATGTAGGTTAGCGTAACGGTTTAATCCTCTTAGTCATAATCAACATCCGTAATGTGATGCTGTACTTGCAAATGACGCGATAATTCTGCTATGCAGATCATATTATAATTACGCTGTAAATTCGTAAATTATCGACCAATAGGAACGTTAAATACGAGCAAAGGTTCTAAATGTACAGTATATAGTACTGGCACGACAACGATCTAAATTTCAAATTTTTTTCATTGGCTGTTATATAATTTAAATATATGCAGAGAATAATTATAATGACTTGTTTGAAAGACGGAAGAGAATTCTCCATTATAAGCTCAAGACCGTAAAATGATGCTGGTATTTGTTAGCCATAAATTGTTTTAATTCAGTGGGGGATTCGTCTTTCGATTGAGTTTAAGTCAGTACTATTCACAGACTACTTTGCAACTATAGGAACAACTAGGCTGGATCACTTGTATGTTTGGGTTGGTCACTCTTTATTAATTTCAGAATTACGATCTGTTACGTGAAATTTTGTTACGCGTGTCAAAGACTTGTTCGTTTCTTTTTTGAGACAAACTGTATTTAAAAAAGTGGTTATTGTCATTATTGGGCTTCATTACATTAGGACTCGACTGGAATTCTAATTATTAATACAGCTATAAGAAAATAATAAAAAATAGGAAGACAATTTTTGACATGTATTAAACAAAAGATCCCTATTAACTCCCCAACCTACCTAAAAAGTTCTGATGGTAACGTCGATAGCGGCGTTAAAACAATAGCCGACTCGTATGATAATACAAATAAATGCAAGACTGCTATAAATAATTATGGTAAATTTAAGATATTCGTATTATTTATGTACATGAAAAATGTATTACATCTAATACTAATCATTAAATAACAATCACGTGCATGTAACACATCTCACATAATCAACCGTTTATTAAAAAATTCCCCACCTACTGGAAGGAGGACCCGGTCTCAGTTGAACTTTCGCTTTGTTGAAGATCTGCCTCTTCTTCTTATCCGAAATATTCACCCCAACTAGTGGGAACGAACATATCTCAACAACTTGCTTGTCATCCTCTCCGTCGTCATCATGCGCACACTCCATTGTGGCGGAATCGAACTTGGTCCCACTCTCGTAAAATTTATACTCGACAACCGGGACTTGAGTCCGGAACCTGAAATAAAATATACGAATAATCTCAACAATTGTATCGAAAATTTGGATAAGAAACTAATTTTTGGAAGAGCTTATCCTCGATACAACATCAAGTTTAGAGCGATATATAAAAGAGTTTGGTGGAAAGTCGCAAAGGAGAGACGCGTATGATGGGAGTCATCAATTATATGCAATGTGTGATTTTACGCCGCCGATTATCTATTCTTATTAAACATAGTCGAATGAACGTGAAAAATGTCGTCAAATTAAGGGCGAATCGAAAAAAAAAATATCGAAGAATTAGCTCTTTCTACCATCGTCAAACAGTTCGTATGTTATTCCAGACTCAAGTCCTTGTTGTCGAGTATTATTTTTGAGAGTTCGATCCCACTACATTGGAAAGTTTGGATTATGATGACGGTGAGGATGAAAAACAATTTGTTCGTTCCCATTGGTCGGAGTGAATATTTTGGATAAGAAGCGGCATGTATTTAATAAAGCGGAATTCAAGTAAGACGGGTTTTTTCCAGCAACTGAGAATCTTTTAACAAACGATTATTGTGGGGGAAACGTAAGTCATGATAATCGCTCACAATATAAGAGCGCTTCTCCATATCATGCCCATCAAACATTTTATGAAAATTTATCGCAACCTGTCACGACTTACTGACTCAAGGTTACTGGTTGTTAATGCACTATTTAAACCAAGCATATTGTTCATAACAAATAAAAGCCTTTCTACTGCTTTAAACGCTTGATTAGGGCTTAGAGCTTTATGGCTGAAAGTAATTCCTACTGGTTTTAGTCGTTGTAAACATAGATTAATTCGATATAACACGACGCAATTCAACGTTTCATCGAACCGTCTTTATTTGACTCTCACAGACACAAAGAACTTTGCGCTGATGGTTGATTTAACGACTAACTTGTGTTCGAAAACGACGAAATTTCATAAGAAACCTGCGATATAAGATTAAGCCTAGAAGAAATTAATAACAGATGCTTATGATAACGTCAGATACAAGACTTTCGCAAAGTCGACCTTTTATCGTAACTTAATGTTTTATTGAATATAATATCTCAAAGCGTATGACGGTTTCGTTGCTGCAGAGTGGTCTAATTTTTTATGGCTGAGGGTATCTTTGCAGCAAATGCAAATACATGCTAAAGACGACTCAAGCGACAAGGAATAGCGGGTATTGCTGCGCAAGACAACCGAAACATTTATGGAGTTGCTTATTTTAATTAAAGCACCATTATTATTTATTATACACGTATATTCTAGATTACGTTGTACGCTTCTTGGTTCTATATGTAATAGACTATTTGCTTCGTTTACTGAAATTGGTTCGTTACATGTCGTCTTATTATTCACAATCTCGCGTCTAAAAAAGTTTTTTTTGTTGTAACAAAATATTAGATGACAGAGTAAATTGTGATGTTCTTAACAACAGACGATACTTATTATTACAATATTGGAGAAACAGCGCAATATATCACCTGACATAATAATGGTAACGGTGAGTCATCACCAACAGTAACAATAATGATAACAAATGTCTATTTTCAGTTCCAATATAAATAAATAGTTTAACCCTACTGTAAAATACGATGATCTTTTAGACCTGCTCTAAGTATCGATAGCGAAATATACGAAAACAATATCTTGCCAGTCTGTTCGTATGATTGAATAAGTATTTGCAATGGACTTTTAGTGTGATAAGATTTTTTTCATGAATATCTGGATTCCAAGCAGACTCCCATGTAATTTTGACATTGTCCCGTAGATTAAAAAAATGGGTGTACACTATCGAAATCTCGATTAACAATCATCGGGATCCTTCTGCTATCATAGTTAATTTATGCACAAATATTCTGCACGAATTTGTGGTTCACTCAAACTGTTGTAGTGAATTGTTTTTACCAAGTACTCCCACCAAGATACATAGAGACTACTGCCGATATGCCATGCAAAACTTCATTAGTCGAGATTTTTGATAGCCCATCCGTAAAATTAGTTCAGCGAACTGCTTATCTTGTTAGTTGGTTCGGAAAACATGTCCTCGCCAACAGAATTAGTCTCACGTCTCATGTTGCCGTCAACAATACCTTGTTATTAAACGCCAAGAATATATCTAATTGATTTCGGTTTAATGTTAATACGTCAATTCTGCCATCTGAAGTCGACTTCCGCATTATCATTAATTTTTTGCTGTTTATGTAAATGGAAAAGTTCTTGGATGGAGCATTGAGTGGTCGAAGCGATATTTATGTACAACCGAACGAAATGCATTGGCTTCGATTACAACTTTTTCTCAGATATCTGTACTACGTACCGAGACTAAGACGATTCTGGTCTGTACTAAATTTAGATTTGCACAACAGTTGCTCCGTCAACAAATAAGGAAGTTAAACAAAGAATACCAAACGCATTTAAAAAACGAGATTCCTATTAACGTTGATTCTGTAGGTAAATACATACATACCCAATAAACAATAGCATTATTCGAAATGAGCGAAACGGATAATGTACAGGACGAATTATTACTAGTCGTAGGCATCGATGAAGATCAAGGTCACACCGAAATCCCGCAACAAGGATTGGCATCAGATTCAGGACTCCCTAGCCACTCCAGTAATCATCCACCGAACAGCATTAACGATGACGGTATTGGACAATCCAATCTACTGAAAGGACTTCTTGATGATCGTGGCGAAAGAATAGTGGATCAGGTGCACGGTACTCGTAGAAACAAGGAACTACTCAATGACTTATTTGCAAAAATCGGGGCACACTTAGAAATGACTAGGTATTCTGCAGATGGTCCTGAACTGATGGATCGTGTCAATGCCCTTGAAGGCACACTGACTAAATTCGTTAATGTTCAAGAAGAATATATTAAAAGTTTAGAAACTGCGATGAAGCATCAGCAAGAAAGATGTGTGGATTTGAGTGAGAAAATGTACAAAGCAGAAAATCAATACAGAGATCTAGAAACCCAACTCAATGTAACTAAAAAAAGCTTCTATGAAATCAGCCAAACACATTCAAATAGAGACATGAGAGACTATCGTGGGGACAGCAAAGAGATCATGGTAGAGCTTCAGCAGAAACGGGAAGAAGTATTGTACTATAAGCATGAAATCAAAGTGTTCGACGAAAGATTTGCTCGGCAGGTACAAATCAACGAAAAGAACCAGCAACTTATTAATCATTATAGATGTAAATACGATTACGGAATTGAATCCGATAGTGAAATCATGTCGTTACGCCAGCAGAAGCAAGCATTAGAGAAACAGCTTTGCGAAGCGCGTAATAATAGTAACTATTACAATAACGCATATCAGAGCGAAAAAGCAGAACGCAAAGAGTTGGAGGACTCGTTTCGTCGTGAATTTCAACAAATGCGACAAAGAGTTAATGAAGCTGAGGCTAGAGCGTCTGAATTGCAGAGGAAGAATAATCTGCTCAAGGAGGAAGTCACCAGAGTTCTTGGCGATACTACTAACTTGCCCATTCTTCGAAGCGAGGCCAAAGAACTTGCAGGCGGACCCAGCCGCTGTGATCCATTTGCTGAACTCGAGAAGGAAAACAAAGTTTTGCGCGATCAGAATGCTGAATTAGAGGAACGACTATGCAAAAAATTAGGAGCCGAAACACAATTGGAAAATCTGAAAACATCTTTCCTTCATGAATTCAAAAATATGCAACAAAGTTTTGAAACTAAAACATCTGAGTTACAAAACCTGCTAAACAGTGAAGTTACCAATATCAAAGCCGTTCTTGGCGATATTACCAATGTCAGTTGGGGCGATAATGATAAGAATTATTCTGTCCAGCTTGGAAAGGACATTCTTAAATTGCAAAATAGTCTAAAAGAGTT